TTAGTGCTTTGGAGAAGTTAACTCATATTATTAATACTGTTGTGCTGGGTGGTATTTGGAAATCGATTCGGGTTGGTAGTGGTGGTCCTCGTCTATCTCATTTTGCATTTGCAGATGATTTGATGATCTTTATGGAGGCTAAGGAAGAGAAAATTGACTTGTTATTGAAATGCCTCCACTTATTTGAGGAAGTATCTGGTCAGAGACTTAGTGTTGATAAAACAAGTGTTTATTTTTCTAGAAATTCTAGCGCAGATGTAATCTCAAGAATCACTCAGAAAAGTGGCTCCAAGCGCGTGAGGAACATGAGTATATATTTAGGCTCCATGATGCAGCATGGGAGAGCTTCTAAGGAGTTGTATGCAGGGATCATCGATAAAATTAGAGATAAGATGAATGTTTGAAATCAACAAATTCTTTCGCAGGCTGGTAGAATCACTTTGTCTCAGTCGATGGTGGCTGCGATGCCTTATTTCCAAATGCAAAGTTGCAAGATCCCAGTGTCTGTTTGTAATGAGATTGAGAGACTGCAGAGAAGTTTTATTTGGGGTGATAAGGATGGTGGGAGAGCTAATCATCTTATTAATTGGAGTACCATAACAAGGTCTAAGGAGATTGGGGGTCTCGGTCTTAAACAGTTGGAGGTTATGAATGATGTCATGCTTGCAAAGAGAGTTTGGAGCTTCTCTAACAAACCGGATCATCTTTGGGTCCAGGTTTTGCAGTTTAAATATGAATCAAGGAGTAGGAGAGCTGCTGGTTTTGTGGCATGCAATAGTGACTCTTCTTTGTGGAGGAATATGTGCCGTATTTGGAGGATGATGGAAGGGAGGCTTAGATGGGAGGTTGGAGATGGTAGGACTATTTCTTTTTGGAATGATAACTGGCTCTCTTTGGATCAGCCTCTTCGAGAGCTAGCCACAACTCAAATTTTAACGGTGACATGTGTGTAGCTGATATGGTCAAACCAAACAGAGAATGGAACTTTGATTCTTTAGTCCTTTGGTTCCCGAGAGATATTATTGATATTTTTCGTGGAACTTTAACACCAGTTGAAGATGATGGTCTTGACAGTAAGTATTGGGATCTAGATGGTGAGATCACTATATCAGTGAAGGCAATCTATAAGGTGCTTGTTGTTCATGATTCAACTTCGGGTTTGGTTGCTGAAAAATGGCAGCGGGTATGGGATTGGAGTGGGCCTCAGAGAATAAAGTTGTTTATGTGGAAAGTCTTTCACAAAAAGCTCTTAACTAGAAGTAGGACTGCATTGTGGGGGAGTGGCAGTGAAACTTGCCCTATTTGTTGTGAGGAGAGTGAAACTTTGTTACATGCTATTCGGGACTGTCATGAGGCTAAATCAATTTGGTCTCAATTTGTGCCTTTGGACAAGATCGCAAATTTCTTCCTTGGAGATGCTGATCATTGGATAACGATTAACATGGACACGGACAGGCATGGGATTGCGAATGGTTGGATGACTTTGTTTTTTGTTATTTGCTGGAGAAACTGGAAGTGGAGAAATGAACTGGTGCATGCTTCTGTTTTTCCTAGTTTAAACGTGAGGAAAGGGATTATTTGTAGGTTAGTGAGGGATATTAACAATTCTTCGGTTATTGCTCATGTTAGGTTGCCAGCAAAGATTTCGATGAAGATGGATATTAGCTGGCAGTACCCAAGAGATGTTTGAGTAAAGATTAATATAGATGGTGCTGCTAGAGGTAACCCTGGCCTAGCTGCTTGTGGGGGTTTGATACGAAATTCGCAAGGGAGGTGGCTGGGGGGGTTTTTCTTATAAATTGGGTTATTGCTCTTCGTTCAAGGCTGAACTTTGGGGTGTTCTTCGAGGTTTGGAGCTAGCTTGGAATGAGGGTTATCGCAATATCATTATTGAGAGTGATTCATCTAGTGTGATCATTGTGCTCACCAAGTCAGGTGAAGCAGTCTGTGAGTGTCATGTGATTGCTCGTATACGGACATGGACCAACAGAAGCTGGTCAGTTACGCTGTTGCATTCTTATAGAGAAGGAAATGTCTGTGCAAATTGGTTGGCGAATAATATTTTGGATACGGATGATTCCATTACGTATCAATTTTGGAGGGATCCTCCACCTTTCTACATCTTCTTCTTGGTGACTTTCCTGGGGTCAGTAGGTCCAGGGAAGTGCGGTGTAGAATTTAGTTTTGTTTGGGTTTTCTTTGGCTTAGGCCTTTTTTTTTTTTTTTTAAAGTATCCCACAACAAAAAGACACAAAGATAACTAGTAATTCTACAAGAAAAATGATTAATTGAAATACTAAAGTCACATTTGATATACAGAATATTAATTCTAAATCCCAATTTTATTACAACTTGCCTGCCCTTCTTGAAATTCTCATGTTAAGTTTAAGTCAAAAGCATACAAATATATATATGTGAATCATTTTTATAAAGCATAATGTTATACTAGAACGTAATTATTGTTCAATTATCGCAAAAATTATATGAGGTATCTTAATTAAAAAAATTGTACACATTTAAACTTATTTTTTTTTAGTAAATAAACTTAATTTTAACTGAGACATAAACAATTTATTTTAAACTTTCAAAATTGAGAATTTTTTTTAAAAAATAAAAAATAAAAAATAAGAGGGGCGAAAGCCCAAAGAAAAAAAACTACAAACTTAGAGGAGTTTTTAGGTATTGCTAGAAAAATAGAATTATCTTATGGAATTAATGTTTCTAATGTTGTAGGAGATAATTTTATCTTCAATACACACATAAAAATATATAAGGCTCGTATTTTATTTTTCTCTCTTTTCTCTTCACATGACCCTTACACACTTTTATGTGTGTACGTAGGAGATAAAATTTATCTTTTTTTTACCAAAAAAATAAATAAATTATCTCCTATAACATGAGAAAAATTTATTCCCTTATCTTATTATATATAATTAAATGTGTGCCATGTCAATGATGAACTATTACTTTTATAATATCTCTCACTATAATTATATTTCTAATGCTATAATCAAGATAATATACATTTGATAATCTAATTAAAAAAAAATTTGTTCTAAGAGCATTTAAAATTTTCTCAAAGCTATTCGTAAGATTCCACGTCAAAAATTGAAGTGATTTGGTAAGTACATCACCATTTGAGATTACATGACACATGAGCTTACATTTGGTTAGCAATCTTGCGGGATAATATGAAAAATCATATAATGGATAAAAATAAATAATAAGTTTCCAAAAAAAAAATGTGAAGTCTTATATCTAAATTTAAAGAGAATATGATTAGTTAAAATTCAAGGTATAAGTTAATTTTACACTAATTAGTTTTAACGAAAATTAAAATTATAAAGAAAATAGTGCAATGAACTTATTATTAAAAAAAAGAACACTAATAACAAATCGACTGTAAAAAACTCAAGAAAATTAAATGGAAATGGATCACTTTCATCCAAATGACTACAGTGGGTAGAATTTAATATAATAAAGTGGATCGGGGGATTCGCAATCTTAGACCCTCGATTGGACCAAAATGGCCTTGTGCTTGCAATAGTATTCATTACAAATTTTGTTAATTTTTTTAATAACAACCAGTATCCGAAACCGGATTACGAGCGTTTGGTACAAGAGATACTTTTTTATACCAGGAACAAAAAATTTCTGGGAATATAGTAGAAATTTTTTTTTCCGGATAAGTTACAAAAATGTGTTTGGTAGGTCAAAATATTACCGAAAATATTTGCTATATTTCCTGAATGCATATTTGGTTGATGATAAAATATTATTGGATATATGATATGAAATAACGAAAATAACCTCGCGATGGTTACTTTAATGACAACACAGATACTGAGACTGAGTCACAATATGTCCTGCGTTTTTCTTTTTTATTTTACTTCACATTTTATAATTTATTCCTTTAAACCCTCCCCGTGTGTTAAGGTGAAAACCATTTGTATTTTGGTTAGCATAAACTAACTTTGAGCTAAATATTCTGGATTACCAACACAGGAAGGACAAGAGAAGTCACTCAATCTGACCAACAAAAGATTAAAACTACTCAAAGACTCAAGGGTCTACCAGCCACAGCGTGGAGAGGATGCCGACAAAAGAGAACTCGCCGACAAGGTGTGATGTAGGTGAACTTGTAGTTGTACAACCGTGGACAAGTTTCACTCACCGGTTGATGATGCACTGTCCAGATATGGTCACTGCATGTGTGACTGTGTGTGAACTAGGAGGGTATTTACGGCAGAGATTAATGTCAATGCTTTTCCAACTCGAGGGAACAAAAAAATATCATGTTCAAATTGGTATTCTGATTTCAGATTTGGTAGTGTAAAAAAAAATGTAGGGAATAAATTTTTGCCAGGTAAATTTTATCTTTACTCATACCAAATGTGGGAATAGAAATTTCCCAATAGCAATTTCCCAGGCAACCAAAATAAATCAACGTATCAAACAGCCCCTAATCTGATTTTTGCTTTTCTCGGGAGTTGTAACTTGAAATCTATTACTTTTTAAACACATTAAATCCTGAAATCTAGCTGAATAACTAGGAAACCAACAACTTTACGGGTTCTAGTTTTAGTTATTATTAATCAAGGAAATATCATTATTAGTTTAGTATCACAACTGATGCGTATTCCCATAAAATAGTGCAAAACGAGAATTGAAGGGGTTGTTTGATTCTGTTATGTTTTTTTGTTTTTAAAATTATTTTGTAAAATAGTTATAAAAACAGTTATTTTTTATATTTATTTATTTTTAAAAGTTAAAAATTAAAACAAAAAACAAAAATAACTCAGACATATTTTAAATTTGATTTTAAAAAAAAAAAATTATAATTTTCAAAACATTTTTTACAAAACAAGTTTTTCTAAACAAGTTTTTTTGTTCTCAAAATTAAAAAACTGTTTTTAAAAACAACAAGCAATGAGACTCTTCCAAGACTTTTAAAATCTACCTTAACACATTGACTTTGACACTATTGTCTTTGTAAGTTGCTCACTGCCTCCATTGAGGAATGGCTTCTAAGGATGGCCAAGACCCACGAATAGCAAGAATCAAATCTGCAATCAGGGTCATCCCAAACTTTCCTAAGCAAGGTGTTCTACTTTTTTGTGTTATAACAATACTCTCTTGTTTTCTGATCCAGTAGTTTCATCAAAAAATTATTTTTTTTAAATTGTATAAGAACATATGAAGTATGATGGTGCATTTTACCTTTCTGGGTTGTTGTGTTTTAGGTTGAAAGATGTGGATAAGAATGAAGTTTTCTCTGGAGTGAATAACTAAAAATAGATATACTCTTATTTGTTTATTTTAGAAACAATTTAGAAGACTATGTTCCAAAAGATGTTTACTTGTTTGGTTTTATGATTTATGAATGTCTTCAATGGCTGCTATGCTGTTCTGTTCCGAGCATAGTTTGGTAATCACAGTGCATTTGTTTTTTGCAGGTAATATGTTTCAAGATATAACCACGTTACTTCTTGATACAAAAGCTTTCAAAGATACAATTGACTTGTTTGTGGAGAGGTACATAGATAAAAACATTACTGTTGTGGCAGGTACTCTTCCATATTTGATGTTTAGCTGGTCATTATGAATTAAGATATAGTGTAATGGGCAATATGGTGTGTCTCCTAAACCCTCCTATCAGAGCAAGGAAATTAAGTTTCTGTCACTGGTCGAGAATGGCAATTTCTGATTACAAAAAACTAAAATCTGTATGATATCAATTCATAATCTATTATTTGTTATGCTATACACTAGCATTTCCTTTTCCCTCATGGAGCTAATTTTTATTGGAACTTAGGGTGTAGTGGAGTCCAGATGATACATGTAAAGAGAAGAAGAACGATATTCAAAACTCTTTGATATTAGGAAAATGCAAGCCCCTTTCAATTAACAATTTCTAGGCTGCAATTTGTGATCAAGGGCATTTGTTCTTTACCCACTGGCATAAGTCATTATTGATTTGATTTCTTTTCTTTTCTTTTTTTGGGTAGAATTATTGATTGGGTTTCAATAGAATGTTGATAATACTTTCTGGAATGATCTCTTGAACAAAATAACTCTGTTCCGTACAAAATGGGAACTTTTTCCAATTCCAGCATCAAAAGATAATAGAAGCAAAATTAGTGCCAATAGACACTTACTTCATTATAATTTTAGATGGTTCATTTTCCTTTATTATTATTGATTCAAATATACTCACCATAAGTTAATAATTTCCAATGACTTTATTTATGACATACTGCAGGCCTTGAAGCAAAAGGCTTCATATTTGGCTCGCCTATTGCGTTAGCTCTTGGAGCAAAATTTGTCCCAATGAGGAAACACAATAAACTGCCAGGTATATAGAAAGAACTGCAAAGAGCTTTTGAGAAATTCCTAGTTGGTAGATAATTATCAATTCGTAATTTTGTACTAAGATGAAAATTGTTGATGGTTTAGTATTTTACATAATGCCAAATCACCATAGTATTGTATTAGTTTTTAAAATGTTACAAGATTTTGGTCCAATGTAAATTGTAATCAATGTTATTTTGAAATTTTAAATGGCAGTTGTCAATCAATTCAGTTCTCGTATTGCATTTTGTAATCTTGTTTTTTCTATCTTCTTTGTCTGTCTGATGTTGAAAGAATCCTTGTTTGGTAGACTGTTTTTCCTTTCTTCCTTTATTCCACTGAAAGCTGCTGCAGAACCTTTTTTCTACATTTACCTTCAGTTCCCCTCCGTGAATGAGAATCTATGATATAAAAGGTTGAAGAATGAGTAACTCTCAAACAAATAAAATGAGAAAAATTGATACATAACAAGAGGGTATAGTTCTCTTATTTCTTGAGGAATGTATAACAAATTATTCAACCACAAAATCATCCGTTTTTTTAACCTTTAAAAAAATAAAAAAACAGATTTTGAAACATAAAAATTAATATGAAGTTTCAATAATGTAACATAATAAGAATTCATAAGATTATTTGTTTTCTATATTGCTAAAGTTTAACTGCATGTACTGAGTGTACATGCCATATAAAAAATAACAGTATCAGTTATGCAAAGGCTCTGTTTTGCAGTTTTCTTTAGTTTGAAATGCATGTTTGTTGCATGGATTAACCCTATATAATTGAGAAAAACTACAACATTTTGTATAATTTTTCCCAGGTGCAAAAATACAGGCATCTCCCTCCCCTTTTCTTCAGCAATAGTATAAAATTCATGGTTTAAGGTCTATGAATCTTTGTATTGTGTATGGTCTTCCAAGTTCCATACTACTTAACTGTGCTAACTTTTATTGTTGAAAGCACTTGAGGCTTCTGTGGTGGGGAAGATCTTTGATTTTGTTCGAAGGAGGTTTCATTTGCCTTTTCAGGGGAGGTTATCTCTGAAGAGTATTTCTTTGGAATGTGAAACTGACAAATAGAGATGCATGTAGGGGCTGTACAACCAGGAGCACGAGCCATTGTCATAGATGATCAAATTGTTACTGGGGGAAGTTTATACGCTGCATTTAAGCTACTAGGTAATTCCTCAAGATCAATGTTTTATCAAGGGAAAAAAACCCACTAACATGAATGTGTTAGGAAAGTTATTTTGCTGATTTTTACAATAATCCTGAAGTGGGTTCTAGCCTAGATAACCCACTTCATTGTTTGGTTTCATATCATGTGATCTATCTTCTTAAACATAAAAGTGCTTGAGGAAGGATGGTTTATTGTATCTTATCTCAGAAACATAATTTATAGTATTGTTTAGGTTAAATTACTCCGTAGTTTCTATAAATTTTTAAATAAGTTCTCCTTGGCTAAAGTGGTTAAGATTCATATAACTTTTGCTAAATTATAAGAACCTATTCGACAATTTGGATAAACTCTAGGGATCTATATGACAGAAAGTCAGAAAGAACGATTAATTAGGTTCTTAGCCTTATATTCTATTTGTGTTTTCAAATAGTTCCTTTGTAGTTTAGCAAAAGTTAATGGCTGTTAACAAGAACTAGGGACCTGTTTAAAACTTTTTAGAAGTATAATAAGGACTCTATTAAAATTTAAAAACTCTAAATCAAGAAGGACTTATTTGAAAATTTAATGAAATATGCAAAAGTAAGACTGTGCACTAGGTGCTAAAGTGGTTTTATAAAGACCTACACACCTACGCAGGTTCATGAAAGTTGTAAAAATGAACAATTATTGGGCTTAAAGCTTTTGAACCATATAACAGATCATGCTATCAGGGTTCAACAGCCTTCATGATTTCTTTTTTTCCTTTCTATTTCATTTCATACGCTACAAACATGCATTAATGGGGACAATGGGGAAGTAATGAAACTTTTAGTGCCCCTTTGGTTTACCACTGTATGTTCAAGTGACTCTTTTACGTGGATCTTAATTCTTATGTAATGATTAATAATTAACTTTATCATTTGGACACATTCCTAGTTATTCTTTTACACATTCTTTGCTGCAGAACGTGCTGGGGTGCATGTGGTTGAGTGTGCTTGCGTGATTGAATTCCCAGAGTTGAAGGTATGGCCATATTTCAGCTTAGCTTTACTTAGATTAGATACAATCCCTCCCACAACTTCTCTGAACTGGTACTAGATGGAAATCAAATGCACTAAGGTTGTTCTGTGTTTGATAGAGGGGTACCTAATTACCATAGGATGAAAGGTTGTCAAACTAGGATTGGAAGTATCTCCTTTTCTGTGTGTTTTACGTATAATACCATTAAATTAAAGTATTCATATGAAACATCAAACGTCTGTTAAAATAACACTTATTAACTGGACCTTTCAAGTAGGAAGTAGTAATATAATGACATAACATCCATTACAAACAGAATACCTTGTTCATAATCCAAGACCATAAGTAAACATAACGCACCTTGTCCATAGTCAAACATCATAACAATCCCCAGTAACATTAGCCGATTCAACTAAAACACATGCAGCCTGAAACTTACTGCTCTGGTTGTATTAATGCTCCTGGATCACTATTCTGACAACTTAACAGTGTTAAATCTTGATTTATGTGCAATCTTACCTAGTTGCGATTTGTGGGTAGGAAGGATTAAATAAACTAGGCATTGCTAGAGAAATATAAAACCTTCACCTAACAACTTAACATATTGTTGTTATAAAAATATACTAATTTTATCAAATTAATATGTTAATAAAATTGGGTAATGAATCTAGTAGTTTTACTAGAGCATCTTATCCTTGAAGCCTTTGCACCTATGGTTGTTAATGCGTGTCCATGTAGTTATATGTTTTAAGAAAGACCATAGTTGCTGCACGATTTTGTTCTGAAGGATTCTAAAATAAGTGTGCTTTGTAAGTTGTAACTAAGATATAGGACTAATTGGGGATCTCAACTTTGGCTTGACTACTTTGGAATTTGATAAGTGCGTTACATGACTCAGTAAAGGGTATTTTATTTTTACTTAACAAATTTTCCGAGCATGCCATTGAGAATTTATTGCTATAAACTATTTTCTTTCTTTTTGGCTCAATTCAGGGGCGGGAAAAGCTGGGCGACAAATCACTGTTTGCGTTAATTAATGCATCCTGATCTCCGTGTTTTTTGTGATTGAGATTGTGACGGTAATTTATTTGCTGAGCATGTGAGTTCTTAATTTCTTGGAGCTCTATTGGTGGCTGCATATATTTCCTTAAGATATTTTGATATTAAGGAATGGTGGGGATGGCTATAACAAAGGTTTTGGTTGTAAAAGATGCTAATATTTATGTTTATTGGCATCGTCACATGGGAGATATGTCCATGTTCCAGTTTCAACTTTTACTATTACTTCGACGTATATGTAATTTTATTTTGTATGCCTTCACATTTCTTTCTTGTTTTATATATATATATATATATATATAGACAAAATGATTTCTGCAGCTAGCTGCTGTACCTACAGCAAGCAAGGATACACGTCCGAATCCTAGGATACGACAACTGATCCTGAGTTTTTTTTTTTTTTTTAAAAGCCGTGGGGCCCACTTTTCTGTGTCAGCTGTAGATAACACTATCTACGGCTGCTGCAGAAATGTTAAGCTCATATATATATATATATATAGGTCAGGATTATTTTACACCAGTGTAAATTACACTCCTAATCTTGTCCATTGATCCTACTTATATCTAAGGGCTCAATTCTTTTAGTAATATGAACCATTAGATACAAGTGGATCAACACTAATTGGCCAAATGATAAACCACAATAAGTGGGCCGACACCACATCTCAACCCAAAACCTTAAGGCTGTAGGTTTATGGGTCTTTTGCACTTATATGGTCATCACTTGGTCTATGTCTAGCCTATGTGGAACTTACTTCACCACTACTCACTCACACTTAATTATTTCCAATATATATATATATATATACACGCGCGCGCGGGAATAAAGAATTTTACACTCATTTTTTACTATTGATTCATTTGTATTTAATGACTTATTTTTATAAATTGACATTTCCACTAAAATTATAGACAAATTTATATTTCCTATAGTCCAATATAAAAATTAATTTTTAGTCCATTAAAAATGGGTGAACCTAGAAAATAATTATTTTTACTTAAAAAAATAATTGTGTAAATTTGTTAGTCAAAAACCTTTTGCAAAAAATATTTTTATTAATAGTCACATAACAAATCACAATAATTGAGTAAACAACGTATCTTAACTTAAAATCTTAAAGTAATGAATTTGTGAGTTTTTTTTTCAATTATATTATCTTTTTATTTATTTTTAATTAACATGGGACTTTTCACTCACACTCGAATTTCATTTCTAACAAAACTAACCATGTTTCAAAACTTTGAAATACCGAAAGTGAGTCTATAAGCACTCCTTTTTTTCTATAAATAATTCTTCACTCCAAAGCACCGAACTCGTTATTTTTTTCAAAATGTATGTGTCAGATATTGACACGCTCCGACATGCGTTCGATATGAGGTCAATATTTTGAGACATGCGGTCAATGTCTCTGACACGTTTTTTTGACATGCAGTCAATTTTTTTCGACACGCGATCAACGTCCCGACACGCATCCGACACATTTTTTTTTTTACTTCTTAATTTTATTTTATTAACTAAAAAAAAAATTATAAATCAATTTTTTCTGTTATGAAATTTACATGAAAAATTAACAAGATACGAAAAATTATTTTTGTTTATATTTATGTTATGAAATTTGAATATTTGATTGGTTATATGACTTATTATAAGTTGTTATATGTATTAAATATAAATTATATTATCTATATTAAAAATATTATTTAATATCAAAATGTGTCCCAACGTGTCGAAATATGATATTTTTTAGAATTAACGTGTCGGCGTGTCGTGTCGTGTCCCGTGTCAGTGTCGATGCATCATAGATTCTTCGTATTGATTTTGACTTTTTCTTAATTACCTTCAAATAATTTCAAAATTAAACATTTTTATACTTGTTATATTATTGTATGCTCATATTTTTTGTTATTTATTTTATAATTATACAGACAATATTTTTTAAACATTTTATATCATAACATAATGTTTTGTAAAATCAAAAACGAATTTTATTCTTAAATCATATTTTAGTAATTATATAATTATATAATTGAATTATTTCAAATACTACCTAATATTTTTTCCATAAAAATATTATGTAACATTATCAAATAAAATTTATGCTCAAACAAGTTTATTTATAATATAAATTAATTACTAAATCAATCAATGAATTTTTTTTATTTGGATTAAATATTTTACGATTTAAATTATAATTTTCTTATTATGATTTGGTGGGTGTTCAATAAATATTTTATCTACTTACATATTTTAAGATATATATAGCTTGACATTAAGTTGGACATAGCTCTATGATAAATATTTTATCTACTTACATCAACAAATATTTTAAAATAAAGTAGTTTTATATTTTGTAAGAAATGATAATAGTTATATAGTTTTATTATTATATAATTTACACTCCTTCTTAAACCTTCTTTCACTAATTGAACAAACTCATCTTGTATTTTCAGAATTTAATTTTCTAATTGATTAAAGGTATTTTATAATTTAATGTAATTAAAGCACAACGTATCGTTTACTAAAAAATATATCATAAACAACGGATAGGATATTGTAATAACCAATTAGTGTTACTACCAATGTTACTTCACCGTTTGATCGATTATTTTGATCCAACGATTATATTTATTTTCATCTTTGTATGATTATGATTTTTCATATTTAATGTGAAAACATTAAATATAGAAAATCATAACCATACGAAAGTATAAATGAATATAAAATATTAAATATGAGGAATCATAACCATATAAAGAGGAAAATAGACATAACCGTTGGATCAACATAACAATCTAACAGTAAAATTGATTGGTAGTAACACTAATTGATTGTTACAATATCCTTTCCCCATAAACAATTAATGAAATATGATTTTCCGATAATTTGTGTTTTGTAAAATCAACACGAAACCTTAAGTTTATAACGAGCGTATAATAGATGATGATAAAAAGATTACTAGACAACAATACATAAAGAAAAATGTGAATTAAATTAAATGCGTAAATTACAAAATATTCGTTTGAAATAAAAGTTATCATTAATTGATTTAATAGTTATTATTGATCTATTTTATATTAGTGTGCTAATTACGTTTAGAGCATCAATTTTATTTAATGACATTATTTAATATTTCTTTACTACATTAATTGTGAAAAAATATATCATTTAAAATAATTCAATTAGATAATTGTTAAAAGATAATCTGAGATATTTGTAATTTAATGAAAAATTATATTATCGTATGAAAATATTATCATGTGGTATTCTAAAGGAAAAAAAAATTAAATTATGAAATATTGAATATACAAAAATATAAAAGCTAAGTCACCAGGTTTGGTCTAGTAGTGATGGATTTGAATATGTTATATTAGGTTGTGTGTTCAATTCTCATTGTATAAAATAAAATAAAATATAAAAGCTTACAAAACTATGTCTGTCTTTAGAATTATTTAAGGATAATTAAAGAAATAAATTTAAAAGTAATTACGTAGGAGCACGGGTGTAAATGGGCAGGCGACTTAACACGGGCCTACGGTTCAGCCTATATCAGTCCAAGCTTTGACTATTACACATATTCAAATAGAACAAACTCATGCTTTTAAAAAAGCCTATTTAAAAAGTAGGTCATAGGTTTTCTTTTACATCTCGGATCTATATAATATTATTTATTTTAAATAAATTTTATATTTTAATAATTTTGAATAATAAAATAATATTATTTTAATTAGTTTTGTAATTATTAAATGTCTAATAGGCTTAAACAGATTAATATGTCTAGATCAAGACTTTTGTTTTTTAACATAGGTCGGACTAACCTTATAATTTGGGTTTATATAAGGCTACTAGACCAAGTTAGGCCTAAAATATTTTACACAGACCTAATTTATTTAAGTCAAAATTTACATCAACTCATTTACACCTCTACGCAGGAGTGTATATAAATAAAAATATCTCTACCCTTATTTTAATATGGGCAATTTTATATTTAAGAAATAAAAGAGGGACCTTGATTGTGACTTTATACATTTATAATATATAATATATTAGATAAGTGAATATATAGAGGAACCATCCATGTGAATTGAGTTGAGTGATGCTTTCTAAAGTCACAGACGAATAAAATGAACCTCAAATAGTCAACTTACACAGTTAGTGCAAATTCTCCGTCATTTTTCATTGGTTTTCGAAGGAATTGAAACACGTTTGGTTTGGACTTCCATAATATCGACCTGCCATGTATATTAAATATTTAAAGATATATCTTAAAATTAATTCAACCGAAATTAAATAATTATGTGCACTGTTTTCGGCTGACCATGAAGTAACAGGACTCATTTGGTTCTATATTTGTCTGGAATGGAAGCCTACATGAAATTAATTCATGTCCAGAGACTTCATAATTATACTCAAGTGTTAAAGGAGACCGGTACGCATTATACTCTTACATCGATCAACACAGCAATTATATGACTATATTATAATTGTTTTATCTGAGCCTTGAATTAGAAACCTATCATTCACTCAATTCATGGGACATATTTTTTAATGCAGAACATAAATTGTTTATGTGGTCTTATCCTTTGTAATGTTATTAGTGTTTACAGTTAAGGTTATATTGTTTTTAAATCTTCCCCTTCTTACGGCTGGAGATAATGTATAAAATTGTTATGATAATATTTGTCTTTACAATTATTAAAGTAAACATAGAGGTACAAAAACAATATTATTCGGTTCAAAATACAACGTGTTAAATAAACAAAACAAAATTGTATTCTTTTTGGAGTTACCCAACCTTAATTATCTCTTTGAGACGAGTTGGCTCCCTCCGGTATCCCCACGAACTTTGACTCTTTGAGCCGGCTATGAGACTAATCCGGAGTGCGGGGGAACAGTGATGGCTAAAGGTTCAGCCTCCTCCCCAAGAATGCATTCAGCAGGAATTGAACACATATCTAACCCCACTAACTCAGCGTCAAGTTACCAACTGAACTGCACCCATTGAGTACAAAATTGCATCCTTTAAAAATGAAATAAAATATTAATTACTTTTCAATTACACCGCGTGTTTTCTTTTCATATCTTTCTTTGCTCCATCGTTATTTTCGCTTTTCCTTTTGCTTTATAGTCATATGTTTGGCCTCACATTTTAAGATAACTTGTTTGTAAGTATTTTATGGGAAATTTAGAGGACATAGGTTGTGTTATTTTAATTTTTAACACTTTGTATTACAAGTAGTACATAATTATAATA